GTTCTAATTTTATAGGGTAAACTACAGCTGAAAACTGAAAGATTTCGATAGCAAAACGGTTATGAGTGTGATAAATGAAGTTTATTGATCGGGTGTGTTAATTCATTCGTGAAGTCATCATGATATACAGTGTGACACACTAAAGATGAAGACATCCAATATTTAAGTAATTTTTGAAAGCAGATATTTGATTTTTGGTACAGGTATATACCTTCATGTGCCGCACTTTTCGCAATATTTAGCCTGAGTGTCAGCCGTAAAACCCAGCGTACCTACTTCGATCCCGCGAAAACGGCAAATTCTTGATATTTTGCTGCGCGTTGAAGGTACCGACATAAGTTATTTAAAAAAGTTGCTTACAAATCGATTTTGACCCTGCATACCGAGTTTCAGCCCAAAATTTGTTTTTTTTTTGTATTTTCCATATTCAAGTCCGATTTTGAATTAATGGTTCCGCAATTACAAAAAATAAAAATGCAAGCAGCAATTGAAAATTGAACAGCGGAAAAAAAAATAAAAATAAAAAGATTTCAAACCAAGTTACTTCACGACGTTTCGATTGTTAGTATACACAATCGTCTTCGGGTGATGACTGGACTCATTTCTCCGAGAGCTCACTATTTTCAGGTCATTCGAGTGCTTTCACTTATCTCCTCTTTCCTCTCACCGTTTCACCGGTTTAGCGAGAGCTGACCATGCAGTTTCGTCCTGCGAGGACATAAGTTTGAAAATGTCCTTATACAACGAAACTTCAGTAACGTTATCAAATAATTATAATATTTTTTTTTCTAAAAATGCTTGGGTATCATTACTTTACCAATAATTTTTAATATAAATACATAATATGTTCAAAAAAATACTATCACTCACTACGTAGTACGTTCCACACTGTATCCTGCATCAACAAATCTCAAACGCACCGCTCATGAACGACTAACGAATAAACCATCAACCCCAAATAAATAATGCCATACGTTGCAAGGGAGCCAAGCCTCCAAACGTTTTGAAAAACACAAGCTCCCCGAGACGGATCCAATCAGAGACATGCGTCGCGATTTGTAATTTTAGAGGCTAGCCTCCAGTTGGTCTCCATTTGTGTACGACTGCGTTTGTTTTTGATTTAATTATTCGGACGGGATGCCGTGACGGACCGGGACTGAAAAATATTTCGGTAAATCGGTTTAGTGTTTCTTGATAATATTTGTTATTAGTGTATAAAACAGGCAGTATTGTATTATAGCAGTAGTTTTTGGTAATATTTTTGAAATTAAAGAATCTGACGATATAGTCGATTGGTTGCTGACAAAAGGCCTCAACCAAATTTGATTTCATTTAAAGCGTCAGATAATCGACAAAATCGAGGATTTAATATTAGTTGGTATGATAAATGCCATTGGTTAACTGTCTCCATTAAATGAGAAAAACGTTTTTGTTGGCCCTATGTTTCATTTTCCATACAAACCGAATATCTAACGTGGTCTAAAATAGGATACTTCGATTTAAAAATGTACCTCGTTCTACAGAAATACATTTCAAATCTAAGGAGTATATATTTTAAACAATTAAAATTGTTTAACAAACAAAATATAGCAACAGCTATTTCGTCTTGGTTAAGAACGAATGGTATGTTTACTTTTAGTTTCTATTTTTATTTTTTCCGTCCTATCCAAAATTACAAAATACACCTTTCAATTCACCTTTCAAAATGCGGGACCCTCGCAGACTATATTAAACTTGAATGACCGCCGATTAAAAGTAGTTTGCGGGTGCCTTGTGAGTTCATTTAAATAAACCAGATTTAACCTTCCTTCCTACCCCATTCCTCCCCTTTCCTGGCAAGACACGACTCTCACCTCCCCGTTAGTTCTTGCTGGACAATAAAATTTACTTTTAGACCTGTTTTTATAAGCAAAATTAAGTACTTATGCTCATAAAATATTTGTAGCAATTTTCAACAAAACTGTTATATTAGAAGAGAAAAAAAGTATTATTTATCGACTGAGAAAAGTTCATTTATATTAAATAACTCAAAGACAACCCTTTTTCCTTGTTTTTGTTTTTTTAATGGTCAAATTTATACGTATCATTTTCGGCAATACACAATTTTTGTTTACATTTATGCAAATATTACGTATTTTGCTTTAAATAGGTGCGGTACCCCAAAAAATTTTCGCGCCTACGGCAGGCTTTTCTGTGTTTTCACTGGTTAATAACAAATAAAAGTGTTAAAAAATAAAGAAAGTTTCAATTCTCTTTTATTCATATTGAATTTCTTATAATTTGCTTGTCTCATGTGATTTGTTGTCTATTGTGCTGGTCGACAGAAGAACAGTGCCCAGTGGGTATCCCTGTAATTATTCTGAAAAGATATCCTGCTCTTCTGAAGCATTTCTTCAGTTCTCTTCTCAGATAGTCATAAAGATTTTTCTGCATGTGTTTCCGTGCGTGTTGTCAAGTGTTTGTTTTTCAAACTCAAGTCCTAATCTGTTCCCATATAGGAGCTGATGATCCATATCTAACACATTTATGTTGTCATTAACAGATCTGGTTCATATAAATAGTTCTTGAATGCAGTCTTTTGCAACTCGACGACCCTTGCATTCTAATAAATTCAACCACTACAACCCTACTGGATGTACTGATTGCATCTAATCAAAATCTAGTGTCAGAAAGATGTAAGAAAACCAGATCATATCACCATTTAGGGTAGGATCAATGCTGTTGTGAATGAAAGATGAGGAAAATGGATTTTAAAATGGTTTTTCTTACTTGTCGTCAACCAAATTACCAAATGAGCGCATATTGAAAATGGATTTTAAAATGGTTTTTCTTACTTGTCGTCAACCAAATTACCAAATGAGCGCATATCAATTAGTTTGATGAATTGGGTTGGGTTGGAATAATGCTGAACACCAGCCAGTTCATCATGATCTAGAATATTATTTCTCTGTTAGTTTGCATGACATTATCTGGTTCAAAGGTTTTATATATCTGTGTGTCATCAGCGTACATGTGGTAGTTACAGTGCTGCAAAGCACTGTTGATATGTTGATATTATTTACACCGTTGTATCATGATGAATGAAGTCGATTTATTAAAATTTCCCCAAAGGAAAATATGACAAACATTCAACAAAAAATATGTATAAATTAGTACATTTAAAAGTTTCTTCTAATATATGGCATTGTATAAATGAAAATTTATTTTGTGTGTCCAATTTTTGAATAGAAAATAGATGAAGCTTCTAGACTCGTAATGGAACACGATATATTAGATTAGATATTTATCATCATGAAAGGCTAGTTTTGTCACGTTTCGCATTATAAAGTAATGGAAAACAATATCCATTTACGCCATAAATTCTCAATCTGCATTAGGCATTCTTGAACATGGTGATTCAAGTAGAAGATAGACTAAAGGACCATCACCTAAAATTCATAAGTTAAATGGACAAATTGATGGCTTTAGACGTGATGGAACATCATCATGAAAAATGAGAATCAAAACTTTCTACGTTTTTATACCACTTTTATTTGTAACTAACGTTACTGAATTTTTGAATGAATACAATAAACTAAAATCATAAAAAATGTACACCCTTATATACCTATACAAACAGTGACCGTAATGAATATTACTGGAGTGTTTTTCCCAACACCAAATCGTTATTTTTAACACTTCGACACGTGTTTCGATCACCAAGTGATCATCTTCAAAACTGAGTTTTAATGAGTTTTAATCTTCCTCTTTGAAGATGATCACTTGGTGATCGAAACATGTGTCGAGGTGTTAAAAATTATTGTCCCACATAAACACTATTACACTCCGGTCACTTATAAACTCCAGATTCCCCCATCTTGTCCATTTTATCTTTGGCATCGAAAAGAAAATTAGGTAACCTGGCACGTGGCCTGAATGCCACTTTCACGTTGTTTTTTCCGGAAAATCTCGAAATGGTTTCTCTTATTTCACCTAAATATAGTAGAGTTACAAATTTCTTGATTACTGATTGTTTAATCTGGAGGTATACTAATCTGTTAGTGAATTTGAGGCTTTGTTTTCTGACTGACTCCTGGATTTTCTCTGCATTGAAACCATTATTATGAACTACCTGAAGTTTATATCGGTAAACGGGGACGTTCGTGTACATTGTTGAGTATTTTAGTTTTTTCGTATTCGTTTGAAAATGTCCTTATAGCACGAAACTGCAGGAACGTTGGTTACAAACACAAGTGGTATGAGAACATAGGAAGTTTTAGTTATCATTTTTCAAGACATTGTTCAGTAAATGGAAACACTGTGTTGGAAATAACATCTAATACTGGGAAGATGCGGCGTGTCAATCTTTGTAGGTGAACCTATTGACTTTGATAAGAAAGATAATATTCATCTGACAATTCAAACGATATAAACTTAGTATGTGGTGCACAGTTCCTAGTGAAAATAACCGAGAACTCTTCTGCTTTGACCAGAGTTCAGAACATTTTCAGAGACTACGTTCATGGCGTAAAATCAAAGAGAAGCAATACAGGTAGTGATGCAAATGTTCGAAATTAGTGGGGGGAAGGGAAGTAAAATCATCTCCGGAAGGAAAGAAACGGAATTACAAACTCTTCAGATCTCTTTTCACATAGAAAAAACTGAATTATTTTTTCCATCAGTTGATACTTCAAACTAAGACCTAACGGGAAAAGTTGACAATTTATAAATTTACTTCTTTTACCGTAATTAATTGGCACTATTGATGCTGCTATAAAAGTAATTCATATTAATTCAGAATTTTTTGAAACTATGTCATTCAAGTTTATAATAAATTACTACAAATGAAGACCATATGGTATAATTTTATCTTGCATATATGTGAAATATAAGACGTATGTCAAGTTATTTTGATGGTCTGTTAAAATTCAAACTCCGATCCTGCAAACTTCAATATACATTACTTGTGCTGATCCATGCGAATGTGTTAAGAATATATCAAGGTACGCTACTGTTTTCTTCCACCAGTAAAACTCGAAGTGGGAATTTCGACTTCATATCGGTACTGAAAATGGTTTCGAAATTGTAGTTTTCCATCTAACTGATGACAACTATATTCTCCTATGGGGATAAAATGAACATATTTTAATGATAGACCTATTGTGATGTTGAGGTGAACTGTTTCACGATTTAAAATGCATAGTATTTGTTATTGTAGTTGTATGGTGTTGGCGTTTCTTCAATTATTTACTGGTAAGTCGCAATTCTTTAGACCGATCGACTTTTCCTTTCACTCTGTCTATGCGAATTATGTTAACAGCGACATTAAGAATTCGTCAAAAATTTCAAAGAGAGCATGTTATAACTACAAATTAACTGAATGCTGTTTCATGTTATTTCAAGTACTGTTAAAGAAAATGTGACAACTATTCGCTTTTGTTTACAGACTTTTCATCTTCCCATCATTCTTCACTTTTTATCTCTTGGATATATCGGAAATCATTTCCAATCTGACAAATCAATAGATGTTAGTTATCTAAACGACTTCAATTCAATAGTCATCATAATTCCAGTGCTTTTGTGATTTATTTCAGATTCGGTCTTTCCAATTCTTCGATTATTAATCTGATGGTGGAGCTCTATAATTCGAAGCACACATTCAATGTAAATCATATCGTTTGGAACAAGTTGGTTGGTTATAGAACAAAAATATAAAAATTCAGATGATGAGAAATATCGCCACACCTCCTTTCTAATCATCTTCGAATTTGTATCGATTTGGGTTTTCCTATGTCTCAATATATTTATACGATATATATATACAATTTTATTTATACGACGGTTTTGACGTAAGATTCCGTGAACAAGTCTGTTTGGACAAAAATCCACAATGTATGAACATTTTAATGAATCGAAACACAAGATAAGTGAATATAACCTCAAAATCCTATAAATATGTAATAAAGGAAAAAAAGAATTTATTGAAAGTCATGGAAATTAACAAATCGATTAGAAACCTCAAATATATACCCCTAAACATGCAACTCGATTTATGTAGGTCTCTACTCTTGAATTAATACGTTTTACAACCCCTATAATCCTCAGTGTTGAACTTTATAGTTGGCACCCTGGTTTGTTCAACTACCTCTCCCTCTATCTTGCCTAAAAATTCTCGATATAACCGAGTTTTCAAATTTCACATTTCAGTTTTATACTTGATAATGGGGTTAAATCTGAAACCGGTCGTATAAATAAAATTAAGTAGAGGAAATTGGACAATAGTGTTTTTATTCATTTCATTAAAGTGTGAAACCTCAAATATATACCCCTAAACATGCAACTCGATTTATGTAGGTCTCCACTCTTGAATTAATACGTTTTACAACCCCTATAATCCTCAGTGTTGAACTTTATAGTTGGCACCCTGGTTTGTTCAACTACCTGTCCCTCTATCTTGCCTAAAAATTCTCGATATAACCAAGTTTTCAAATTTCACATTTCAGTTTTATACTTGATAATGGGGTTAAATTCGAAACCGGTCGTATAAATAAAATTAAGTAGAGGAAATTGGACAATAGTGTTTTTATTCATTTCATTAAAGTGGTCATGAATTACCACAAAATAAACTTGTCATCAATCACACATATTGAACATGCTAAATAGATGAAACTGTGAACATATGTTCGAGACGAGTGTACCAACACAAATTTATAAAAATCGCTAATTGAATGTACATAGGCCGCGAAGTTTGAACATTCACTTTATTTTTTGGACAGTACAGGTTATACATGAGGTATTTACTAGTTAGGTTGAGTAAGGTTAGGTCCAAAGTGAGTGGGTCTATTCAATCCTCCACCGCAACCCGCAGAGGTTTATTGTGGCTCACACCTATTCACACCCGACCAAATAAACCCGGCTTCTTAACGAAGCCGATTAGTTTGTATGATGAGTGATCTTCCAGGTCAGAGGGTAAGAGTACGGCTCTGCCGAACTGTAAAAACCTGATTTGGTCCCCAGCGGGGCAGGCACAAAGTATATGCTCTGCTGTTTCATCATTAGTGAGATAGTCGGATAGTCAAGGTGTGAGATTCCCATACCTTGATACCTTCCCATATGAGGGTTTTTGCACGTCAGTTACACCTGACGATGCCTTAGATTCAACCGTGCAGGGCTTTTTCGTCTCTGGTTTTGGTGAATCATCACTTGAGCGCAAACGTTTACTAACCTGCTCATGGGGGATTTGTTCCTCCACCTGAGACAGATTCTGCGTACTCCTCTCAAGAATTTGGTGCAAGGCGGTTTTGTAAAGTACCCCGCTCTTGGGGAGACGACTCAGTCGTTTTCTGGCTGCACCACCAAACCTTTTTTTTAGGTTCTGTTATTGGATCAGGAGTTGGAGAGTTGAGAAGCTCTCGCTCCTGATCTAAATTTACAGGGAGGTCGGTTGGAGTCATAAGCTCGACATTCATCTCCTCTGTAGACTCAGCATCAGAAAGAATTTTGAAGTTTAGTCTGTCCATGATAGTCCCACGAGTAGCTAGGGAAGGAAGGTGAATCACGACAGAGCCCCGCATTACCGTGACAAAGCGATGCTACGACGAGAGGGCACCCGCTATCTCGAAGGTTCTGTATAGACAGCTAATAAGCTCAGTGTCATTCATCCGCTTGGCATGGATATACTACAAAGGATTAAGCCATCGTTGGGGTGCCATTTAGTTAGGGAATAACAGAACCATAAGTGATTCTGTCATTGCTATATCCAGCGGGGCTACGTGGAAGCAGGCATCCGATGGCCGGTTTGCTCAACCCCCACATCCCAAACCAATGCACTCGCCAAAAACAGCATGCACAGTGGTTCAGGCAGTGAAAGTTGAACAATGACAGCCAACCCGCCAATACTAGTACTTCCATGTGCAATTTTTTTCAGAATATGTATTTTGGTGTGTCTGTTTACATGAGGTTAAACATAAGTTAAAATACGTATTGTATTAGGAAGATTTGTGTGCGCGGCTAATACCCCGCTAGACATTATATTCGACAGACTCTTATGCAAGATACTTCACAGAGGTTAGTTTTGCAGATTTTTCTCGTTCATTCATCAGCAGAACCACGCTAAAATCAGTCAAGTAGATCATCTACATATCACCTTATTCATCCAGTTTTGAAGGTTCTGAAATATCTGATAGGGAACAAGATCAGTAAATTGGTCCATAAGAAATATAAAAATACTGGAAAAATATACCTAGCAATACACTGGAAAAACATTTATGAACGACCCATCTGAAAAATTTCTCCAGGGTTACTCACACCAATTTGGAGGACACCTAAACAAAATGAAATACTTCAGCTGCAGGTGATACAACAAAGAGAAAGAGACAGCTCGTCATGTTTTAAAACAAATTCAGTAAAAAATGATACAAACTTCCAACAGATAATATATAATGAAGGATAATACAGGAAACAAGATTGTTAGGATGAAAAACGCATTAAACTCTGAGATAAATGATTGATAAAATGCTGTAAAAAGATGTTATTGAAGAGTCATCAAGTCTATGGGCATTTTTATTGGTAGGTATTGGTGATAAAGAAAGAGGGAACAGCTTGTTTCTGCGGTTGAATGACGTCACAAAGATGATAAAAATTTCACAGACGTTTCGATGTAACTAGTCTTTATCTACCGTTGGTTTCGCAATGTTTACGAACTGTTTCACATCCACCACAGATAATTTCTTCAGTCTGAGGTTTTACTTTCATGGCACAACTTACAAATTGTTCTATATTATACTGCATCCGAGATAATTCTCAAAGTATCTGGTATTACGAAACCAAAACACTCAAACAAATCTTTGCATGGTATCAAAATTAGGTTCAATTGTCAATAAATGGAACATTTTTATTATGTTTCGGAGAGTACGTGACATTTCATACCTTTCTGTGTAGAACTAGTTACTTCTTTTATTCAAATTACAGATAGTCCCAAAATAATTTTTCAACATTCTCGTGAGATCTTAAAATTATTGCACAATAATTGATGTTGAATTTCCATATTCAAATATGTTAGGTTTTTCCTTAGACATTACGATCCATACTATTCGGAGAATCGAACACAACAGTGATAGCGTCGAGTATGAAATATTTTTAAGATCAATTTGCGCTTTCGATTAAAGTTTTTGCTATATCTCGAGCATTTCAAATAAAAATTTTGCAGAAATATTTTATTGCACTGATTGCCAGGAAGTCAATTACTACAAAATGTTCGTTATTACAAGGAGAGTGCCAATCTTATTGAAAATGATCTATTCATTGTGGATTATTGAAATACTCTTCTTGATGATAAATTGTTTATTCATTCAAAGATCGCAGTTCTCCAGATGAAAGAGTTCTTGAAGAGTTAAGTTCAAGGTATACTGAGTTGAAATTCAAAACGATGAGCAGCCGCGTATTTCTGATATGTACCGCTCTTGGTGGAATCAAATGTGTTCCGCTCAGATCGATCATTAGTTCCAGAAACTCGGCTACTCAAAACTTTCAATTTCACAACCACTTCAAGGAAAAACTTCACCTTTTGGGAAGACGCAATCGAAGTCACGGAGCAAGATCAATTAATCAGTTTTGACGTGGAAAGCCTTGACACCAACATGAAAATTTGATCGTGATTGATAAAACCAGCTGGTATGTATTCGACAGCGATTAAAATGAATTAATGTTAGGCCATTTACAAGCAGAGTCATCTTATGTATGAAAGGCGCAGGTATTTACGATAATTAACTTAAGTTCCTGTTGAAAACCTACCTACTTTTGATGAACAATTCTTTTTCCGTTTCAAAAGGTTTCTGACTTCTGTACTGTAACGTAAAAATTGATTCATGTTCGGAAAACAACTGATAACTCGTTTGAATAATAAGCATTCATTGTTTGATATATATTTGTTTTATTGCAGGTGTCTGTTATTCTCAACTTTTAGTGCCAGATGATCTATTCCAAGCACAATATGCCAACTCCACAAGGTTTAAACGAGAACTAGACGAGTAAGTCTGTTTTGATTATATACCTACGAATACAAACAATAATAATTACTAAGAAGAATATACATAATGTGACATCGAAAAGATTCGACAAGCGGGGCTGTTATTTCCCATTTCTAAAATTTAAAGAAAGGAACGAATGACCTCACTGAAAAGATGTTTCACGATACATTGCTGTTATGCTTTTGAAAATTAGTCCATTTATTCAAAAGATATGGAACTGTGAAATTCCATAACACAAGTTTTCAGAAAAATACAAACTCATATCGATTTTGAATAAAAACCTCTCATATGAATTCAAATGTCAACGATGAATCCAAAATTATAACCATTTTATACTCTAAGAACATCAGATATTACCTACGCTCCAATCAGATGAATAATTCTAAGTTGGGATCAACTAGCTAAAAAAACTGGTACAATATTTAATTGAGGAATTAGGCTTTCATCGCTGGCGTCAATGTTTTGGTTGGTTTCTAGGTTTTGCCGTTGTCCCCTTTGGTTAAAATATCCAATCCATAAATACAAGTTATTGTATGATTTTCATTATGAGGGGTTTTACAAAAACCGCAACACGTGTTTCGCTATACAATAGCTTTCTCAAGCATAAAATAATATTAATACATTCTTGTTGAATGATGATTCGAAGTTGTTAGCGTCTCGGTATTTTCGAACAGGATCTTGTGTTTCCCGTCGTACAGTGCATGTTATCACTGCGGACTTCTTGATCTGTCCCAATCGGTAACTCCGCTTGTGCTCAACTATGTCCAACAATGCTTCTTTTCGCCTGACCGATATAGACATTACCACAGTAACATGGAATCCTGTCAACTCCCGCTGATTTGAGTGGATCTCTGCTGTTTTCCGCTGATCTCAGATACTCCGATATTTTCTTCGTTAGTTTGAAAACGCTGTTAATTTTCTCCTTCTTTAGAATTTTCCGTATTTGATTGGTGACACCTTCTATGTATGGCATCTAGACAGTGCCTTGGACAGTGCCTTCACTGGTGTTTCTCTTCGTCTCCCTTGGACGCGTAACGTGGATTATGTCTTTTATGTCGCAGCTGTTCGCTTGTAACACAGTTGTTAGATGTTATATTTCGTCGTCGACGTACCTTTCTCTACATATTCTCTAAGCTCTGTTCACTAGGTTGTTGATGACGGTTCGTTTTTGTTCTGGATTATGGTTGGATACAATATGTAGGTATCGATCTGTGTGTGTTTTCTTTCTGTACACCTTATGGCCTAGTTGATTGCCTTCTTTGATGACTAAAACACCTCACTGAAGATGACTGCCGCAGGTATAGTTGCAGAATATTACCAAAGAAGACCACAGTAAGTCCCGGAAACCAACCAACAGAATATTTGATTTATTAGTGGAAAAAGGGAAACCGGGTTCAAATAGGTAGTGACAGGTCAATAAATTGATGATTACTACATGATATTTATTCTAGAGCGACTTGGTCCTCTGGTAAAACAAATTTAATGAATTCAAGGAAATTATTCAAATATATTTGATTCTCCATTCATTATTGGTAACTATTGAATTCATTCATTTTCGTAATTTCCAGAAGGTTAACCTTAAAAACTTTCTGTGCCTCTGTAAGGAGGTGAGTATCACACGTTGAATTTACTGTTTCTATGTTCTTAAATGCTTACCTGAAATGTTCTTCCAGTTTGACCTTTGTAGAACATCGAACATGAAAAACACGACAATTGGTGAATTTCTGATATATTTGACATCAAACCTTTGTAGTCGTTATTTTTATTATGCACGGTCAAATTTTCATTGGTGTCATACGACACATTTATGCCTTTGCTTCTTAAGAAAATAAAATTCTTCATACTGAGTTGAATCAAATGAATTTTCTTGTCTATACAGTAAAGAAACACTCTATTGGGAAATTTTCACCGAACAGTTTTGAAAATCGCAGCAGGTATTTGATTCTACAAAAGCTTTCTCAGGCATGTTCTTACTAACTAAATTCTACTTAATCATTTAGTACTTTTTATATATAACAGAACATAACATATAACAATTTGAATCTTATGATATTATACCTACTTAATGATCAATAACGCACTAGCTAACAAATAATAACAAAAATGCGACAAATATTATAATGTTTATACATGAGCGTTTGAAGCATCCTGACTGCGACTTCAACATCAAAAATTTTCCATTACGTAAAGATTCTGAGTTATAGTCATTTATATTTTATACAAAAAAGTTCACATATTATAGGGAAATATAAGATCAAAACAAGAAAAAACAATATATTTTGAGAATAACTGACTTAATTTACAATACACATGAAGAAACATTCAAATAAAGCATTTTTTTGCAAATGTTGCAAATATTGACTTTCGTTTATATGTTTCATCGTTTTCCTATTGCTATTAGTTTGCGCGTTTGACCGCATTCGTAGCATCAATAATAACGGAGTTGGCCATGGTTCCCACTCATTTTGATGATACAAATAAAAAATGTAACAAATAGTGGACATAACACTCCAAAAAGGGGAGCAAATCGGGGACACGTATTTCTGGCTATTGGCCTCATCAGCGCAGTAGCCAAGTGTAAAGATGGGCAACACTTGTTTGCCGAAAGCAGGAAACAACATAGACGCACGGAGTCAACAACAGAAGCCAACCGCACATTTGTGGTCATGTTAGATGTAGCCTGGGAATTCTAGGCCTTCTAACTGGAACCACAAATGTGCGGCTCCAAACTTCTATAGAAATATTAAATGGAGTGTTGAGGCTAATTTTTCAAATCGTGGAAAGTATAATAGAAATAATTTTCATTATTGGATTAGACATAATCCATTTCTAGTCCATCCCACAATCCGCAAAGACGATTTAGTATTAATGTTTGGTGTGGTCTATTCAGAGACAGAACTATCGGTTCATTTTTCTATGGACCCCTTTATATTAATGTATCAACAAGAATGTATATATTATCAAGTTTTCAGATGATATATACGTTTATGTCGATTATTCTGCCATGTCTTGTGGTAGGCTTATTTCGGTTATTATTCATTTGTAGTTCTAATTTATATTGTAAAAAGTTTACCAAGAGTTGTTTATTTTCGTAGGCGAAATTAACATTGAAGTCTTTTGCTAAAATTGGGGGCAACATATGATAGTTCTCTCCTAATTCTTCAGAGACACATTTACGGTCGAGTACGTAAATGTGTGCTCGTACCTCTCTCGCTTGCCCCTACAGTAACTCTCTCTCTTTCTATTTTCAATAAGTCATACCCCCCACTTAACTTCCATTCGTCTTGCCCGATCACTCTTTTTGTGTCTCTCTGGTCACGCATTCACCAGTCATGCGCGCGTAAAGTAGTTTTACTTAAAACAATTTCAAGCAATTTCTTGCTCCTCCAGGTATTATTTCACACCAAAAAATTCACAATAGAAACTGAAACAAATGTCATTCATGTGATATGCCAAATAACGTGAAAACTGGAAATATTTACAAATTCACAATAAACACTTCGCTCTCAAACTGGACCCAGGTTTCGGGCATATATGTTTTTTTTCGAATTCCCCTCGTCAGTAGTTTAGACAGTTTCATCTGTATCAGAAATGATGAACTTGTAGCACATGTTGATGAATAATCAGATTTGGAATAAACGTCAATCTAGGGGTAAGTTCGTAGGGTTTTGAAGATCTCCTTCAATAGACCTGTTGTACCAATTTTTGCGCAATTTGGGATGTTTCTATCACTTATCTTCTGAAATTAAAATGAGTTTGTGGTTATTCAACCCTATTACGATAACCATACCAGGTTTAAATTCGGTTGTCAGCAAATTCTCCATCTAGGTTAGTGGTCAATGTTGGCTCGTTGATGATAACAAAATGAAGAAATATATTATATATAGCACTGTTTTGAACTTCAGTCAGTACTATAATGTGAGAACTATTTATTTTGCAGATATTTTGAATTGTTTCAGGAGTTCTGATTGAAAGATATTCCATCTTCAGAGAATTTTGACCCTTAAAGCGCCATCACGCAATTTTTCTTCACTGTTCACACCTACGAAAATGAAAACAGACATCAACAACCAAAACGTTAGGTTAGGTTGGGTCAACAGTGAGTGAGTCTATTCGACCCTCCACCGCAACCCATAACGGTTTATCGTGGCTCACACCTATTCACACTCGGCCAAATGAACCCAGCTTCTTAACGCCAGCCGATTATTTTGTATAGTGAGTGGTCTTTTAGGTCAGATGGTGAGAGTACGACTCTTCCGAACTCTACAAATCTGATTCGGTCCCTAGCGGGGCAGGCACAAAGTATATGCTCTGCTGATTCATTATTAATAAGGTAATTGTATAGTCAAGGTGCAAGATTCCTACCTTGATACCCGCGAAAACCTTAGATTCAACCGTGCAGGGCTTTTTCGCCTCTGGTTTTGGTGAATCATCATCACTTGAGCGTAAACGTTTGCTAACCTGCTCATGGAGAGTTTGTTTCTCCACCTGAGACAGAGTCTGCGTGCGCCGCTCAAGAATTTAGTGCAAGGCGGTTTCATAAGGTACCCCGCTCTTTTAGGTTCAATTGGATCAGGAGTTGAAGAGTTGAGAAGCTCTCGCTCCTGATCTAAATTTACAGAGAGGTCAGTTGGAGTCGTAAGCTCGACATCCATCTCCTCTCCAGACTAGCTCTTGATCAAAATTTACAAGGAGGTCAGTTGAAGTTGTAAACTCGACATCCATCTCCTCTGTAGACTCAGCGTCAGAAAGAATTCTTAAGTTTACTCTGTCCATAAAAGTTCCACGAGTAGCTAGCCAAAGGAGGTCAATCACGGCAGAGCCCCACATTACCTTGACAAGGCGATGCTATGACGGGAGGGCGCCCGGTATCTTGAAGGTTCCGTAGAGACAGCTGATAGGCTCAGTGTCATTCATCCTCTCGGCACGGATTCACACACCTTAGGATTAAGCCATCGTTGGGATGCCATTCAGTTAGGGAATAACAGAACCACAAGTGATTCTGTCATTTCCGTATCCAGCAGCGCTACGTGAGAGCAGGCATCCGATGGTCTGTTTGCTCAACCCCCACATCCCAAGCCAAAACACTTGCCAAAAACAGCATGCACAGTGGTTCAGGCAGTGAAAGATGAACAAGGACAGCAAACCCGCCCTTAACCTATAGAGAACAATTTTACTCTGTCTAAGCTCTCGCTATGGTATTTCACCAGAAGACCAGATGTTGGATCTGAACATCAATAAGGTTACTTTAACTAAATTCTGAAACATTTTGTTCAACTGATTACCACTGAGTCGTGTTCAGCAGCCAAAAATATCAATTCAATTCTCACAACGCATTCATTTGAATATATTTTTTTCAACATGTAACGAGGAAGAACTGAATAGTATATTCATTGAGGTTCATTTGCAATAGAACTTCTTTAATTTCGGTCGGTAGCCAAGCGGTTCGGCGTGGGTGCTTTGTTCACTCACTCGAATTGACTGCCGTGTTGGTCGGTGGTTTAAGCCCTAGTCTGAACGATCGATCTTCACTAGCTATCATCCAACTCGTGTTAGGAATCACACGATAAAAGGTAAGACCTCGCTAATCCTTAGCTCGCACAAGTTTCGACTTCTGAGGGTTGTCGTTCGTAGGGGTGCGACAGCTGGTTAACGGAAAAACAGATTTTAAGCAGATAAATTTCCATTTTTCTGATCAATTTTTGTCTCAGTTTTCAGTGCAAACTACCAAACTATCCAGAAAACGGACAATGGAGCGTGATAAATGGATATGGAAGACCCGGGGACGATGTTGAAATCAATACAATGATCAAATTTGAATGTTTACCAGGATACTTGTTAACGCCCGATACTCCTTACGTAGTATGTGATGGGAACTGGGGTCCTGAGATTATACCAAAGTGTAGAAGTAGGTAAACAAAGTTATCTGTAATTCTCCAACAAAACAATAATATTTACAGACCTTATAGTTGATAAAATTATCTCTCAACCAGCCAATAACGTTTTTTTTTTATTTTCTCCGCCATGATTTCCAACGTAGTACAATTCTTCTGATCAAATCGGATGATTGTGTAAGGAACATTGTTGAATGAAGTTGCTTCTATTCTTTTGAGAAGTCATTTTTTTTTAAAGCAATAAATAATAGTTGGATTTCTAGTTCATATCAATTAATTTTCTCCTGAACACTTCATTTGAACACTTTCTCACTTGTAGTTTCGTTCTGAAAAAAGTTGTGAAATTTGTCTGACTTGGGCAGTATACAGGCGACTTCTCTGAACGTCCAGTTAAACCGGTGTTTCTCCTCATTGATTTAAGATTCGGAAAACTTTATGATATGTTGTTCCACTATTTTCGATTTGCTAGATTATTCTCGCCAATGCTGACTTTTAATGTCTTCTTCATTTCCTCGATGTAGGATTATTAATGCCAAGTTTCCAGAAAACGCAAATCCTATTTACTCACACTACAAGCAGAGCGGAGCTGTGGAACGTACTAATGTTTCAATACCCAGTTGCAACTATTTTTATTTCCTTCCAAAATTATTTGGTGTAGGGAAAGAATATCACTGGTTGCAATGACTTCTCTTCTTTGTGGAGCTCTTGTCCTCTTCTGGTCCATGTCTGTTCTATCTTCTTTTTGAGAGATATCCACTATTGTTAGATATCCTTCTTGGTAATTTTATGGTGGATGAATTCGTAACTGTTCGTGCTGTTCAGTATGAGTATATTCCATTTGAAAATATTTTTCCTATTATTGTTGTTCCTCTTCACAATCTCGTCTTGAAATGACAATTCAATTTGTGATAGTTTCCGCTGTGAATGTCATGTCATACTTAGAACTTCTGAGATACTTGAAGAAAACACGGGTATCTGATACACGTATCGACAAAGTAAGTTCACATGAGGGGCAAGGGGTAAGGTGTTTTTTACCAGAACTCCCACCCCAGAGTATGTATTTGTGAGTTGTTTCCGGACTTTGTCTGCAGGTGGCGCAATGTACATACTACTGAATCATCTGCAGATATGGTTTATTATTAGTTAGAATTAATTTTATTTGTTCTGGATACTCAGATGGTTCACTACATCTGAAATAACCTGTCCGTAACTGACGAGGGGCAAGTACCCCGAAACCGATCTGTCGGTCTATGCACGTAAAACTTATTGTGAGAAAATACACCACTAGCTGGAAATAACAGTGCCAGCTACAGCACACTAGTGATTTCTACAAAAAAATATTCCCTAAAAAAATAAAATTAGAATTTTCAAATATTTTGATATGATAGAATCTTAGGATACATCATCACGAAATCAAGGTGTTTTATAATATTTCTCTTGGAAGCATATTACAAAAAAACTGTGTCGGTTGATGGTGATAACGCCTTCCATTTGAGACGATTTCATTTCATTCTCTCTAGGATTATGCCGTCCGTTCTATTCTACTCCTACAACGAACTTGAAATGCAAGGATCGGAATGGATATGCCATCGGATGTGATAAAGCTACTGATGGAACATATTTGACCTACGAGTGCATCTCGCATTATGAAGTACCACTAGGTCGCAAACAAAGCCTGCTCTGTTATGACGGACTTTGGGATTTTCCAAAACCGGTGTGCCAACCAGGTGAGTGAATTAGCCTTGAAGTAAGTTAGTTGAAATAAATGAAAAGCAGTGGTGACTCGCGTATTGTCACTATTCTGATATTTGAAAGAAACATTCGGAAGAAAAGGATTGAAGTTGTCATATGATAATATATATATCATGAAAAACACTTTTCTCTTGGATAACTTGTAGCCTTTTTAACAAAACGACAAAAAATACTGTATTTTTAAAGTATAAATCACTGCATGTATATATCAAAATTCGAAAATAAAAGTTACTCTATTAACGAAAACCAGTAGAAAAGTATCTAAAAAAGTTAATTTCAATCCGATGAACTGAAAGATAGAAGTAGAAGAAAATTGAAATGGCGCAAAAATCCCAGTGCCGAAAACCGAACTAGGTTTGTTGATGCCCGCCACAGCTGCGAACTTAGAATGAATGAAAGCAAAGAACGTCACAATCAGATAATTAGGGATAAAATGCTAGCCAATCTTAACGGGTTTAGATCCTTCTGGCCACTAGCTGAAGCTGTTGATCAAAACTTTATAAAATCCACAATTCCACCACTAACACAAGCGGTTGGTTCAATTGCAACAGCCATAGTAAAAGCAAATCTACTAACTGAACAACTTGCTTCCCGCTCCAAAGTCAATTTTCTGGAAAAGGCACCACCCACCTTCCCACAGTAGAATCCACAATGCCGAAAATTACTTTTCGACAACGTCTAGTCAGGCGAATTTTGAAACAGCTGAATATTAACAAGGCATCTGGTCTTGATGAAGTGCCCATCATCGTACTCGAGAAGTAATCTCGCACCAGTATTTTACAGACTTTTCAACCTGTCTGACAAGAAAGGGGTTTTCTTTCATGTTGGAAATTCGCTCGCGTTCAGCTTATTCCCAAAAGGACAAGAAAAATTTTGCAGATAACTATAGAACAGTCGCTTTGCTATCAGTTATATCAACCTTCTATCGTATGTCATCCATATTTGGAATAACGCAATCGAGAAACGTGGAGAGTCAAGAGCTATTGCGCTTGATATTTCTAAGACCTTTGACCGTGTGTGGCATGAGATTTGCTGGCCAAATTTTGATGTTATGGCTGGTCGGATCATTTTTGTGTATGGCCTTCAGCTTCCTGAAAAATCGTTCCCTGCAAGTGGCCGTCGCTGGTATCTATATTATCTCCAAAAAACAAAGGCAATATTTCGCCTTGCTGACAACAGTACACTTGTCTCATCGTTTCATTTGGATTCCAGGGATCTATATAGTCTCTAACCTTCTTTTTATTGTTTATCGCCGACTTATTGGAAGGAACGAAGCCAATATATTGCATTGCTGACAACAGCACACTTGTTTCATCATTCCATTTGGATTCCAGGACATCGGCTGCGGATGCACATCTTCATCGGCTGCAGGAGAATCTAGAAGTAATTTCGAATTGGGGTGAAAGTAACCAAGTTCAATTCAATGCCACAAAAACCCAGGTATCGGTTTTCTCTGGAAAGATAAATGTCTCAGAACCAGATATAATGATGTCAGGACAGACAATAATTCTGCTTTCTGCTTTGATAAGTTTGTTGTAGGTTAAAATGAACACCAATATGTATTGGCATATTCATGTCGCTGGAATTGCAAAGGCTGCTTCTCAAAAGCTTGGAACACTGTTTCAAACCAGAAAACTGTATACACTTCAGCAACTTTGAATGCTTCATAAAGCTCAGATTGGATCTTATTTGGAGTATTATTCTCATGTATATTGCATCACTTGCAACCTTGATAGTTTGGAATATCGAAGGAAGGTTGGGGATTTATCTCTGTTCCGTGGATACTCACAGGGGAAGTGTTCAAGTGCCGTGGCATATTTGATTCCACCTAGTGCGGTTCATAACGAAAATACGCGACGAACTGTGGCTGCTCATCATTTTGAAATTCAACTCAATACACCACAAAAATTACTGTTTGAGAACTCTTTCATTTGGAGAACTGCGTTTATGTGGAATAAACTTCCTGAGAAGGTTTTTCCTGATGAATTTTATCTCCACCGGTTCAAATCTAATGTGAATCGCTATTTCCGCACAGGCACCTATCTTGAGAGCCTTGAGGATTTTCCTGTAGTGCTTGTGTTTTGCCCTTGAAAAAATCCAAAAAACTATTTTTTCACAAAAGTTAAACACTCCGTATTCTGTCGGTCCGAACCGACGTCTGTGTATATTTTGAAACGAAACTTTCAAGTTTCGAATCATTTTCTACTTACACCAAGAAATGGTTATATAATTGACTCTTCTTTAGTTGTATTCGTGTTATTTTATTATTTCAGTTTGTGGGAAGAAACCAGGCAACTATACCCTGCCACTTTCTTGGGGCGCATCAGATGCCAAAGATTCTGAGTATCCCTGGGTAGTTGCAATTTATCAAAAGAATGGTATCAACTTCACCAATATATGTGGTGGAACACTAATTAGTCGCAGAGTTGTGATTACTGGTAAGTACTCCGAGTTTGACATTTCGAAGATTCTTCAACCGACTCGATTAATCTATTGAGTTATCACATTAGACATTCAGATAGATTCCTGTATTAGAACAAACTAACTAGTAACAAAATTTCATTCGAAATTCTCAATTCTTTCAACTTGAAAATATTATCCCTAATGCAACTAGGCATCTTACTTTCATAAATATGACCAGAAAGGTAGGTTCTGGTCTAAGCATATATGTAAAGTGCGTTCATAAAATAACGGTTGAATTAACAATACTATTAACAATTCCTGCTAGTTTTTCTTTAACATATAGAGTTATGTTGCTAGTTGTGCCAAATAAATATACATTATGTGATACAATAACTGTACTAACTGAAAGAAATAATGATTACGAATATAAAACGAATGAAAATCATTATTAACCAAAAAAGTCATTTTGTTCACAATTTTCTTAATCGAAATTTAATGTTATATATTATAACAAAAAATATGTCATAATGAAAAGACATCAGTACTGGTTTTCTGTGGACTAGCCAAATTTGAAACAGAAATGGGAATACATTATTTTTGAGTGTCACTAGTTTTCGGGTTTGAAGGCAGCGGTTATTTTCAATTTCTTTCTGACGTTTTGCTGGCATGAGTGGCTAGTTCCTTCAGAGGTTTGTACGTCCTGACTTATCTCCGATGACTGGATAATACAGCTGCGTAACGCGTGGGATATTTATCTTGAAAACTTCGGCCGCGGAACCATTAATCATTGTGTCAATGATTTTTGTAGTATTAGTTCCGTATTTTGTGATTCACACTATAATTATACATTCGATTCGTCGAAAGTTCTTTCCATCAGTCAGGTATAGAAAAAACCGAATTACACATTCTTGTGTGAATACCAATTCAAATTCATTGTTTCAGCCGCCCATTGTGTTTCAAATCATTATGGAGAGACTACACCAGTTGAAAACTATGAGGTTGCTGCTGGAAAATACTATAATAAACATGGAGATAGTAGAGATAAGGAAGCCCAATACATGAAGGTACTGAATATTCAATGATCTTTTTTATGACAGCTGTAGTGCCTCTATTTCTCTCATTTAATTATTTTTAGATACATTTAGTCAAATGTATATTTTAGTTCTTACTAGGGAACCATAATTTAATTATTTTTAGATACATTAAGTCAAATGTATATTTTAGTTCTTACTAGGGAACCATAATTTTATTTTTGTTTTAGTAACTAAGACCTTATTTTATGTACAATATCCTTTATATATCTACGATAGAACACTCCACATAACTGGAAAAATGTTAATTTATTTGCGCTATTGCTGGGATTGCTTTCAAATTTTGTCTCCAGCAGACAACAAAGTTCATGACGAGTTTATATGACTAGAAAAACTACAGAGCTGAAAATTAAAATCTTTTATTTTTCAGATAGCTCATATATTGATACATAAACAATTCAGAGGAGAAGACCGTCGATTCCAGTATGATATTGCTGTGATAGTAACAAAAAAACTATTCATTTTGGGCCCAAAAGTGCAACCCGTTTGTATAAATGATATTAATTACATTCATCCACATATCGGAGACGTAGGAGAGGTTAGTATAATATTAGATTAATTCCGTCACCATAAAAGTTGTGTACTTGGAATATTCGAGTAAGCCCGGTTCTGTTGTAGTGCATTTATGAATCTACAAAATATATTTTAGAAACCTAAGATAATAAACCCATCACAATACTAGTTGTCCTTGACTATTCCAGACCATAGATTTCGACTAACTTTTAGCAATACACATATAATACGGTGTTATGACACCTGATGAAGTGATAGCGTTTTTAAATTCTTCTTCACTAGCAGATTTCAAAAAATCATAGTGTGTGGTGCGATTTTGGATGCTTTGGAGTTGACAAGAGGAGTACCTCGAGGGTCCATTCTTAGACCATTATTGTTCATTATTTACACCTTATTTCTCACTAGAAAACTTGGTATTTGTAAACTCCAAAGCTATTCCGATAACATTCAAATATATCTTTCTTTTTCTACAACAAAAATGAAAGAAATTATGACGATTATCACATAGTATTTTCCATATATTTATTGATTTATTGGAATGAAATAATAAAAACTTCCAGACAATTCAAAATTGAGTTACAAGCGTTTTGTGAATCATTTGACAGATAATAAATAAAACTCAAAAATTATTAACAAAGTTAGCGCATATGAATTATTTGAAAGCTTGCTAACGTATAACTCAAAGAATAGGCGTATAGCGTATAGACGTTAAGAGGAGAATGACGTCATTTTTTGATAATTTTGTATATCCAACATAACAACGTTAAAATTCCCCCTGAAATGCATTCAACAGCAATGAAACTAGTAACATTTCATTTTGTAAGTTGCTCAACTCATAGTAAAATTTCAGACGTTGCCGAATCGAAAAAAACTCGAAAACTGCCAGTCTTTCTTTTCTTTTCAGAACTAATCATTTCTTTTGATAAGACCTGCGTATATTCAATATGTCTAAAGCATTGTCGAAATAGTCTCAACAAATGTCAGTCTTTCTTTTCTTTTCAGAACTAATCATTTCTTTTGATAAGACCTGCGTATATTCAATATGTCTAAAGCATTGTCGAAATAGTCTCAACAAATACTAAAAGTAAGTAAGGATAATAGCAATAAAATATATCAACAGTACAAAAAAATTAGTGCACACGTTCGCAAAGCCGTAACTTGTCATCTTGTGACGTCATTCTCTTCTTAACGTGAACAACCTATACTAAGAAATTTATACATAGGTATATTTTGATAATTTTGTTGCTGATTTCAGACAATTGTTCTTACAACTCAGACATGTAATTCATTTTTATTTCACTCAATATGGAAAAATAAATGTTTTGTCATTTTGCTGTGTCATTAAATCAAGCACACCAATCGAAAATTTACTGAGGAGGGATTTTATCAACAAAAAATAGATTGAATCTGATACTTATAAAATTCACTCATAAAGAAATCTTTCCGTTCACCTGCATTTTTTCTGGATATAGCCAATAGTCTAGTTACATTCATGATACTAACCTTTTTTTAAAAATATTTCAGTAAAAAGATAATATTGCTTAGTATTGATTATTATTTCATGCTTAATACATAATGGCACGGCTTTGGCTTCGGCTTGATATTAGTTTCGTTTGTGTTTGTTTCATATTTGTTACCAATTTCAACCAGAATTGACAAAACCAAACATGTACAACAATCGTATCATGAAAATAATTTTAGGTTGCTGGTTGGGGCAGGACTGAAAATGGTGAGCCGTCAGACACTCTCAAATCACTCAAAATTCCTCTGAAGAAGACATCAACTTGCTCTGCCGAGTTACCTGTAGATTGGGAGAGAAAGTACAATTTAGAAGACAAAATATGCACTGGCTTTTTTAAACAAAACATGAGTGTCTGTGATGGTGATAGTGGGAGCGGTCTTATTTTCAAAAATCCAGAAGACAACAGATTTTACCTTCATGGGATTGTGAGTCTCTCCCCAAGATCTGCTGATGGACAGTGCGACCACGAACAGAATGCTTTATACACCAGAGTGGCAAATTATTACGAATGGATAGACCGAGAATCCACAACGAACTATGTTGAGGAATGCAGTCTTCCAGCTTATCCCAAAAATGGTAAATGGGTTATGGAAAAGGGTGCAGTAAAAAAACCTGGAGAAATCGTTCCATCGACGGCAGTCCTGATATTCTCTTGTAATGATGGATACAAACTATCAGCAGTGTCTCCAAAGTTTTTCTGCGAACCATCATTTCAGCCTCCTACATGTAACTGTAAGTATGACTGACTGTAATGGAAATATGACACCTCAATACTTTGATGGATATTATATTTATTATGAGCATTAATCTTTATGAGGTAGTATTCCATGATTCACAAGATATCTCATATTTCTCAACAAATTATAGTCTCAGAAACGTTCTTTTATAAATTGTCATTCTGTGTTTTTTCTGAGCTTGCTAAAAATGCACTGTTTGACTACTTGATTCCTATCTAAAACTGAAATCAAAGCAATAATTTTTTGATTCAAGAAAAACAGACGAGAAAATGAAATCAAACAACTTCAAAAATTAACAGTAGATGTTCAATCAACTGTTTTGAGCTATGTCAAAATTATTTCTATATTCTCTTCAATCAAAGCTGGTCTTGCAATAGAACGAAACATTTTAATAGGTTATGGCTTCATAACTTATGAAGGTTTATAGGTTATGGCTTATGCTTAAAAAAATTGTTTTTCCAGCAAATCTTTTTAATTTTTTTACAGATTATTTCAGGGATTTCAAATCAATTTTTATCATATCAGACAATGGAAGTCATCAAAACTAAATCACATGGGCAAAACAATGTAAAAATCGAAAGATATAACTGAGGCGGGATAATTTTTCCAAATTTTGAATTAAAGAAACCCTATGAAATATATTTTTTCGATCTAGTCCCGATCCCTGCACAGCAGTAATATTTTTTGATCGATATTATCATAAATTGAATGCTGATGCATTTTTTTTAATTACATTTTATAATTATCAAGAATTTGTGAGTTACTGCAATATATTATGAATTTGAATATGAATATATAGTTTCTCAAAAATGTTAAAGAGATATTTCGAAATATTTATTAAATTGTGGGAGGGGAATGACAGACAACATTTTCCCAAGTTAGTATAGTGCAACAACAACTCAATTTCGAACATGCATGATATTTTTTACCTGATACAATTATAATGAAGTTGATGTTTGTCTCCTATCAAATGAAAATCACACTAAAAGTAATAGATTCACTGCTGGTGGTATTCACCGTGATCTCCTGATTTTTTCGAAAAATTTCAATTTTTCACGTTTGGTCCTAATGTAACAATATACTATATTCGAAAATTTTCCATAAGTATATGACTTGTATATATGATCCTACTTGAGTACGTGGACTGTACAAAAAATAAGGTGAATGTTCAAATTTCGCGGGCTACCTACATTCGCTTAGCGATTNATAAAGGGAAGCTGTTTAAAGGTAGGTTGCACTATATTGTTTACTTGAAGTATACCAAAGGTTTTGTTAGCTACTGCGGCAGGCATCATCAGTTATATGTGCGTTTACTGCGAGGACGAAAGTTTCTACTTTACGGCTGTAATCAATATTCGTCAGGATCTATAATAATTTTGTTATATTTAGAAGTTCCAAAAAAATTCGAACGGCTCATGTGTACATTCATATAAATGTATACATCACTACTTCAACTATCACATATATTTACTGTACCATATTTTTTTCAGTACTATGTCCAAGTCTGATTTTTCCAAAAAACTCCACAGTAATTTGTAAAAATTATAGAAGTGAAAATATCGACTGTGCCGACACAACAGAAGGCTCCAGTATATCCTTCACATGTCCCTCCGGATATTCAACTTCCCAGGGATCTTCAGGAGTTAGGTTTTGCGTCAATGGATCTTGGGGAAAACCAAAACCAGTGTGTAAAAGAAAATTCTCTGTAGCCTCTGAAACCAACACCCCAGCTGCCACAACTCCTTTACTCAACCAAACTGTTGAAGATACGACTGGTGTGAAAGTTATATGCACTTACAACAGCGATTACTCCCATAAAGGCGTTTATCCCGAGAATTTAGATGCTAGTATGTGTACTCATTTAGTTTATGCATACATCGGACTCTTGGACAAAGGAGACCTTCGAGTTCAAGACGATTTAATTGATCTAGATCAAGAAGAAAGAGGTAAGGCTATTCGAATAGAGAAACATATACTGAGATTGCTCTCATATAAATGTTACTCATTTATCTATTTTTCATCATCTACTTTGATACGCCACTGGATAATGTGTTGAATGAACGAAACCGAACAGAAGCATTTCCATAAATGTTTATATTTACAAGAAATAATCATTCTGAGATAAGTCTGTGACCTTCCTAACCATGATAGAATATTGATCTTCTGCATATTCTTGGTATCAAATACGAGAGTCACTTTTTGAGAAGGAACTCTTTTGTAATGAAATGAAGAAAACTTCATTCGTGAATGTAAATGGTATCACAAAATAAAATACGAACTTCAGTTTTCTAAATACTCACCATTAACGGTTTCTTTCAACGCCTCATTATTTTTCAAAATTCTGTCATTGTTGATGCAGCTCATCACTCTCCTGTTTTGGCGAATTTCCTCATAGACTTTTTGTGACAAGTCTTCATTTGGATTTTAACAGTTTGCCATTCAGATCGTTCTTCATCATGAACAATTATTCTCCTTTCGTTAAAATGCGTTCATTCACACCCCTTCACCATAAACCTTAACAAGTTTTTTTATCGAAAACTGAATAACTGAGCGCACTTAACAATCAGTAGGATTGTTACGTAGGATTACTGATTGACGTGGCGATAAACAAATCAGTATAACCACACAAGTAGCAGTCATATTTTTAACTTGATTGCTTTCTTTCTTTTTCAGAAGTTTCCACATTTTTTTGAATTATTATAGAGGAGTAAAGAGCTAAAAAATTGTTTTTCTCAAAATGACTTATGATGTGTTAGACTGGAGAAGAGTGGTCGAAATTGAAGCGATGTCACGTGACAAGATGCGCAATCTGTTCTTAGTAGAAATGACCCTGATATATAATTATTTACAGTAACATCATTATAACGTATCGTTTTTGAATCGTTTTATAGTTTCAAAAACATACAGTGAATTACTCTTCCTAATGAAAAATAAAATCAAATTATTAATTATTAATTCACTCATTTATTATTCGAATTTAAAAATTTTCATAAATACATATTCTAATAACGCATCTATGAGTGAAACCTTTTTCAGGGTACAAACAATCAGTTATGATATGGTGAGCACCTGAAATAAAAATATAATTTTTCACATATAGTCAGTAGATATACTTGAAGACTGGCTATCAATCAAATAAATCATCTAAAACAACAATTCGTTGCGGTTGGTTACCTCGTTCACAGGTAGATGGGGCGATGACAAACTTGTTGTTTGTTGTCTGCTTCAGCCTAGTTCGAGGAATGATACTCTGAAGAAATTCGATTTTCAATTATCGGAAATCATCGACTTTATGTTGATGATAGACACTATCTTGCACTGACGAGTGGCCAAAGAGCCCGAAACCGGTCTACAAGTGTTCTGCAAGTGTTCCAATTATTGAAAATCTATTGCGGCAGTTGTATCGCCAATAGCATATGCAAGAATAATTTCAGTGAAGAATCCTGCACTGACCCCTGTCGGATATAATCCAATGCCCTTCGTGGTATCAGCCAGGGTAGTAGTCGTTTTCTAATAGGTGTCAACCATTAACCTACAGTGTAGGGAGTTGGAACTGGGAACGGTTAACAAAACCACGACATGTGTTTCGTTTTCCAATAGCATCTTCAGATGTCACAATAGGTCAGTATTATGTACACAAATCAAATGTTTCATGATACATATTTCCTTAAGACATACGGCTATAAAAAGATGTTACATGTATGAATACATATGTAATTCAGAAAATATGAAGGTTTATTAGAAAACAACAAGATGTAAATGATTAAATAGAATTAAACAAGCCACCAACAACGAAGATAAGTCAGGCTTCAATACCTTCAGTTACAGCAATCTGTAGCGAAAGCAAAATGAATAAATTACATTTCACAACCAAACGAAATTAACAAATGGAATAATTCATGCGAATCCGCCCAATTGAAAATTTTCATCTCGCTCTAACAGCAGTTAATTGGACAAAAAAACTTCATGCGAATCAAATGTAACAGAATGATATTCATTTATGCTACTATCAGCTTCTATTATTTCTTTTACAGGTTTATACTTCAGATCTACGGACTTGAAAAGAAAGAATCCTCATCTGAAGGTATTATTGAGTGTTGGTGGCACAGCAGCAAGTAATTCCACCCTTTTTTCACGTATAGCTGGCCATGCAGGCAAATTAGGAACATTTCTTGGAAGTTCGGGTTGGTTCATAAAGAATTTTCACTTCGACGGTCTGAATATCGACTGGCAGTATCCGAAAGAAGAAGAAAAGGTATGATTGAGTTAGATTTGCTTTGTTGAGATGATCCCAATCTGTACCCTACATTCATATACAAGGTTTTGATTATTTTTTTTTATCCACAACCACATGTTCTTCTGTCATTAGTTTGCAATAATCACTTGATTCAGGTTTTCCGAATATGAGCTAATTACCTGAACAGGCTAATTTGTCATTTTGATTTCTTTAGCTGATAATCGAATATACAGAGTGACTTACATTCGAATAATGCTTTCTGAAATTTCCTTGCTGTGCCCAGAATTTGCTTCCAATTATTTTAGAATGGATAACAACACCTATATGATATATTACTTACCAAATCATTGTAGGAAAAATGAATTATTTACTTTTCTTTCCAGGAAAAATACATCTCTCTTCTGGAAAGAGCGAGATATGAATTTGATAAGGCTGGATGGCTATTAAGTGCATCTGTACGTTCTGATCCAGCAGGAACTGGGTATGATCCACCAAAAATGAACAAGTGAGATATTTAAATATTTTATATACTTACCTATTTATTATTTTTTATCGTTCGTAGAACTTAAAAGATTCAGACTTGTTTAATTTCAATTATTTTTTTTGTTCGCATCCTATTTTGCTTAATTCAAGTACGTACATCAACAACAAAAATTTCAACTTTCCAATTGATGATAAAGTTTACTTTGTAACATCGAATCAAATATCACTAACCAATGTTTCCATATCTCAATTCAAATATTCAACAATTTTTTTCTGATTGATTCGGCCGTTACTTCATGAAGATCCATAGTAATTTCAAAAATAGCATCAAGCCAATTGCGGTTAACAATGGGTTTAAAGCCAAATTAATAAACAAAATACTTGCCAAGAAAGTCTACGCAAAAGCGGTTCGAGACGTTTTTCCAATTGATAAAGTAGATAATCAAAATTATAGAGTTTCAACGTATTTTAGACAACCAATGGAAAAAGTGGCTTCATTTTTGAGAAAACGAGATATTAAAATTGCATATAGAACAAGTAATACGTTGGGAAAGTTAGTAAAAAATAATAAAGACAAGACATCCAAATTCAAGAAATCAGGGGTATATAAATTAAAGTGTGGAACGTGCCCTAAGACATATATTGGTCAAACTGGCAGGACATTTAGGAATAGAATCCAGGAACATCATACGAGCTATGTAAATTAGAAAACAAATTCAACATATTCAAATCATCTTGTAGGAGAAAATCATATCTTCAACAAAGAGTTCGAAATTTTGCACATAGAAAATAAAGGTTTGAAATTGAATCATTTAGAAGCAATGGAAATTAATAAACTTAAAAATTCAAACATTCTAATGAATGACCAACTGGATTTGAATAGATCACCATTATTAAACTTGTTTTTTCTAAAACAGAGAAAAAATTATTATTGATGTAGATGTGAGGCAATATGCTTTAGGTAATCATAATTGAACAGGTACGTTATGTAGAGGTTCAGATAATTTCTCAGAGGTAGTCTCAATTATGGTTACCTGTAGTATATAAATAGTAATGTAAAAACAACTTGAAGTATAAATCACTTGAAAAAGCGAAACATGTTGTGAGATATTTTTCAAATAAAGTTTGTGGAGATCAAATCGTGAGATGTAGTTTTTGAAATTCTAATATTTGAAATGAATGGGAAATGTACAGTTAGTATTGTTTGGAATATTGATTCTTCTGTTTTTAAAATTAGACAAAATGCTGTTTAAATTGATTCTGATTTACTTTTTTGAAAGTCAATCAGGTTGCACTTCCAATAATGACACTCCCAATGAAACATTCTTATAACTTTGGTAATATTCTGCTTGGCGATTTCTGAAGCTATTATTCACCATAATGGTAGCAGAAGCACTTCTCGTGTATTTCCCAGATTTTTTGAGAAATCGTGCCATTTGCAAAGGACACGTTCTAAATGTGTCAATACCAAGTAATTGGTGCTCGGTCTCACTTCACGAAACTTTTTTTCTTGTTACCTACCATTCATTTTTTTCTCTCGACTGTCACCACTTCCATAGACTCAGGGATCATGCTGCTTTTGAACTCATCAAATTCGACATATCTGTTTGTGATGCACTGTTTGGAACCTTTCTTGTAATGATGAATATTACTGAAGATTTATCCCACCAAAAAAACTTTTATTCAACAGATTAAACTAAATCATTGATTAAAACACATGTTGAAGTGTTATGATAAACGCCAGTAATGGACATTTCTGGTTTTGAAATCAACCTTTATATCCACGGTGCAAAATAAATGAGTTCTACTGTGTTCTGAACATTATAACATGGTAGGTAAATCCAAAATAAATAATTTTTTCACTTATCGGGTTTTGAAACTTAACACCACAACCAAGATACATATAATATTCATGGTGTGATAAATTGGACCCCTTCTCCATGTTGAATATTTTGTCAAAAACTCTCATCCTATGACACTCTCGGAATCAGTTAAAACACCACACACAATAGTAAATTATATCAAATTATATATAGTGGCATCTATTGAGAACTGATGTGAGTCATCAGTAATAGAAACCTTCGAATGAGTGATTCGTAGTTCCATTGGAAAACACTACATGGAGTGACCAGTGTTATTTATCCTGAAACAATAGTCCAATAAAGCGGCCAAGTTGAACAAATTTAGGAATTTTCAGTTAGAATCCCACAAGAACCCACCAAAAGAAGGGGTCTTAGAACTTTACGAAATTTACAAAATCATTTGCTTTCATGAAATAACTTGAGATTGTTGTACGTATTTTCTAGAGTTGAACGGTTTCATTTTTCATTACAGTGACATATACTGTGAGGACAAATACTGTCCCTCAAAGCGCGTTTCGATAACCATGTTAGCATCATCAGCAGATGATGATTAGTCATCTAACCAACTCCTGATGATGTTAACTTGGTTAGCGAAACTCTCTATGAGATTTCATTTTAGTATGGGAAAAGTGAATGTAAAAAGTAATGAAATACATCACGGAAAATGTCTTTTCACTTTACACTGGAAAAAAACAAAAAGAAACTGTTTTCTTGCCTAAGTTTCGAATTCAATTAAATTCTTTTTCAGGGCTCTGTGACAATGAATTTTCATAAATTCACCTCCCACAAAACTTACACGATTATTATCGTTTTAATTTCACTAAAAATAATGAGTTTTTAATGAAATTACTCACCGAAAAGTATTTTCTTTGTATTAATGATATTACTATTTTAAAAACCATCAGACATATTAGATACATATTAAAAAATAAAAAACATTTCAACAACCAAATTTTCGAGACAACACCAACACAAAACGACATGAAAAACATTATTGGCTTCATCTGTGATTCTGATAAGGTGATATCTGTTTTTTTAATCAATGGCAGAAAGGTAAAAACTGAAAAAACGATAAATTATTCAGGTAATTCACTTATCAAATTGAAATATGCAGTATTAATGCCATCGACATCTCTTCTAGTGTTAACACTATCGCATTGAAGGAGATGTATCATTTCGCTCAAAAGTTTTTTGGATAAAAATGATTCAACATTTTTTTTTTCGATATAGTATATGAACTGAACTGTGGAAACTGTCATTAATGCTATTTTGGTCAAACCGGGTGTTATCTTTAAACACGATTCTCAGAACTCATGCGAGATTAGAAGAAACTAAATATAAAAAGCCCCACAGTCCTCGTTGAACATGAAAAAGAATATGAACACATTTTTCATTTTGATCATCCAACTATTCTGAATGTTAACCATATTTATCCAAAAGACTTTTGAGCGAAATGGTACACATCCTCTAGTTAACACTAGAGATGTCGATGGCCTCAATATCGCATATTTCAATTCAATAAGTAAAATACTTGAATAATTTATCTCTTTTTCAATCTTTACCTTTCTGTTGTCGTTTGATTCATGTCGTTTTGTATTGGTGTTGTCTGGAAAGTTTGGTTGTTGAAATGTCTTTTATTTTTCAATATGTATCTAATATGCCTGATGGTTTTCAAAATAGTTATATCATCAACACAAAGAAACTCTTTTTCGGTGATAAATTTAAAGAACTCATTATTTCCTGTGAAATTGAAACGATAATAATCGTATAAGAATTTGAATAAATTTGGAACGTCGCGTCGGCAAGAAAACAATTGCTTTTTTTAAGAAAAAATTGATCCTGTTACCCAATCAACCTTTCTTTGGGAAAATTATGGGATCACTAAACTAGTTAACTAAAACTACGATTTTCATAAATAACCTCACCTCAAGAGTTTTGTTTACCTTTTGCTTACATAATATCAATAATTTACTTTCATTTCAGTCGAACAAATAGTCTTCATATTCAGTTTCGAAGTTCGTAGAATTTAATTGTTTAGGGGAATTGAGGACAGAATTATAATTTTGGCAAATTTGTCATTGCAGGCATATTTTCATATTGAATATTCAAGTTTTGGATGTCAGTACGATATGCAATTTTCCTATAAAAATGTTAAGGTTTTTTAAAATTATTTTATGGAAAAAACAAACAGCTTGAAATAACCTTCCTTTCTCCATGTTCAACTACCCGATTTGTTGAAGCTTATGTGGGACCCTTTGTCACCGACCAATAGCAAACATTTATCTGAAGAACGAGTTTCGAACTTTTCGAATCTCATTTTTGTATTGAGTGGGCGAACATGTTCCATAAACAACATTTGTGTAGTAGAAAACTGAAAGCACCAACGATTCACATAAGGACTTTTTCACATGATAAGGCAAAATATGTCGGTTACTATAAATTATTTTCAGTGAACAGTGAAAGTTCATTTATGCATTTTTCAAATCTCAGATCCGCTCCATCAAAATATCAAGATATTTTGCTTTACAAACAATATTTAGTAGTTCATTTCGAATGCAGATATTCGAAGAGTTAATCACTATGGAACAGTGAAATCTTGGACCAAAGATCATTACATTCGATTTACTAGGGTTTATGGATGAATAGTGGTCCGATGCCAGTTCAACAAATATATTTATATCTGTATTGCTGCATATATTGTCTGCTGTTTTCGTCGGAAAGCTGTGATATATTTGAGTATCATCAGCGTATAAATGCATATGACAAGTGTGAAGAGCCTGAAGTAAGTGAAAAGTATATACAGAGAGCAATAATAGGTCGGGTATGGATCCTTGAGGTACTCCTGATTTGAGATATACGACATCTGAGCTGTATTCCTCTATACTAAACAGTGGAGATCTCTCCTTCGAATAGTCCATCAATAATTCCAAAGTTTGACAGAAAAATCATTATAATCCAAAATACCTAACAAAATAAATAATTATTAGTCTCGATCGCCCGACTGGAATCTGGTAGGACTAACACTCTACATTTGTTTTCATCTATTGCAATATGGAGAAGAGCGGATGTACAGCTATGCCCTTTTTGAAATTCCGATTGAACAGAAATAAGGCAACAGAGAAAAGTACAAGATATGGCTCTCTCCAGAATGTTCGCCAATAGGTACAGGCAGAATACCCATTCCACTCAAATCTTCAAATTCCACTGGACTTTATGTTTTAGGCAGAACCTTAACAATGGTTATTTTACAGACAGTTGGCAGACATTCTCAGTTGAACAGAAAAGTACGAGTCTGGTGCGATATGAGGGCAACACAGCTATATCAGCGTCGGTTTTTGTTTCACAAATAGTTTTCTACATAGATCATAGATTTCTTCTAAATTGAAGTCAATATCAACCCGCTCATTATTCTTATAAAAATTCAATAATTTCTGCGGTGGTTAATTTTGTGGAACTGATTTTATAAAATACCTATTCAATTCCTGATGGTTTTTCGAAATTTCCGGTATACCATTTTGCCTCTCATTTGTGAGCCTTGAGAGTTTTCCACATATTATTTGGTAAAGAATTATTAAATTCATGGGCAAACTAAGCTCTTTTTCAATGTTGTTTCCCATGAATTGACATAAAACTTCAAAATGTGTTTTTTTGGTTAACTAGCTATCGGACCCCTACGAACGACAGCCCTCAGAAGTCGAAACTTGTGCTAGCTAAGGACTAACGAGGTCTTCCCCTTCAACGTATGATTCCTAACACGGGTTGGACGATAGCAAGTGGAAATCGAGCGTTCAGTCTGGGGCTTGAACCATCGACTCACACATCGGCCGATTGATTAAGTGAACAAAGCACAAACGTCAAACCGCCCGGCTACCGACCGACCTTGGTTTTAAGAATAATGGCTCGAACAATATTCAGCTAATGAATCATGTGTTCTGTACTGATTGAGGAGTGTTAGTTTTTCAAACACATTTCTCGTATTTTTCTTCTTAATCTTTAGTATAATAATTTCAACAAAACTTGCTAAAATGTCTTCCTAAAGAGGGATCTATTTCACTTCACCACTTCACACACCCTATATGCGTCAATCAATCTTTTGTCTTTGAGTAACGAATTATTCACAAATATCAAATGTGTATAAAACTGAACCCCTGGCGTAGAATAGATCCAAAACAAGCTCTTTTCCTAATCGCCAGAAATGTGATACTCTTCTCGACAAGTCTTTCATCAACCAAGTGAAGAAAGATTGACGCCAAGTTGGTTGGTCAAACGCGCGTCGGGAAGAGTATTCCATTTCTGGTGATTGGAAAAAGTGATTGTTCTGAAAGTATTCACCCTTCACTCAAAATATAAGTCGTTGTTCCCAACAACTCAAATGATATCATTCAATTTTACAGACTTCTGGACTGGATCACGATAAAGTCCTATGATTTCTACGAAGCTTCTTCTAGTAACTACACCGGAATACACAACCCTCTGTACCATTCCTCGAAAGAAACCAAATGGGAGAAGAGCCATCTCAACATGGAAGCGGCAGCTAACAACTGGCTCAATGCTGGTATCAGCAGGGAGAAACTTGTACTGAGTGTAGCGTTTCATGGACGAACATTTCAGCTGAAAGATGCTGACAAACACGAAATTCATTCTCCCATTACTGGACCAGGGCCAGGTGGTGACACAGGGTTCCTGGACTACTCAGAGGTGAGAGGGGAAAAATTGTTAATGTCAAAGGATGGGAATTTTCATTCAGCAAATCATCAACTCATACAATTAGACACCCAAAATCATGATTCAGTAATAAATTTAATGGATTATTCTACGACACAATGTCTATTTGAATTCGTTCGTTAATTTCAATACCAGAACTTTGAATGAGTTACAAATAGCACACTGAACAACGAACCAGTTCAATTAGGTTTGAGAAATTAACATAGCAAAAACGTTTATTTTTTTCAATATTTCTTGCACCATTCACACCCGTCGTAGCAATTTTCTTGGTCCAAGCAAATTCATGCAATTTGTCCCAATGGTGCTTCCACTGAATAAAAACTAATTGAAGTGATTGGAAAGGGATAAAAAGTAGAAGAAGTTGAAAGTTGTTCTGTAATGACCAAATTTATCATGAAATCAATAATACAGAATTAAGTATCATCAATAATATGTTTTATTCACAAGCCTCCGAAAAAATGTAGTTTTTGTCGACATGAACAAAGTAACAAGTGAACAACTAATTTTATTTCTTTAGAATATGGCCTATTTTTATGTAACGATATTTTCCAAATGTTTCAATTCACTAAATTCAGATTTGATGGTCGAGGTTAAGCCTTAACGGATTTTCCCATTTACAAATGAAGCGTTTTTAACGAAGGGGAATTGACGATACCAATTAAAAGATTATTTTCAATCATTTAGAAAGTGACATAAGTAACGGTTCAAAGATGTTGGTGTAGTAATGCTTCCCTGACGATTATGCATCAATCAGGTATTCAATTTGTCACAATCTGAAAAAATAAAATGAAAAATTATTTTGTTTATCATTCTGTTCCGGTTTTTACGAATGAATTAAACATTTTTATCAATTCATACGACTGCCTTGAAGTTGATAATTTAGTGAGATCGGGGATCGAAACCTTTTTAGAATTTACAAATGAAAACCTTTGCAAATATTCCAAATTCAGTGACGAAAAATCGATAGAGGTGAATGTCATTTTTTAAAGTAACTTGAACAGAGAAATATATTAATTGAAAACCAGTTTTGATTTCACAAATCTCATATAATACTTTTTTATATTTTTCTCAAACAATATTTTACATGTCTTGGTCAAAGAATCGCATTATAATGAAGGCAATTTTTTATTACTATTGTATTGAAGTTAACTGTGATGTTTCAGATCTGCTCAACGTATGAAAACTATACAGATGTATGGGATGATGACCAGAAAACTCCTTATAAATATCACGAAGATAAATGGTTTGGATTCAATAGTAAGGATTCTGTTTGGATTAAGGTAAAGTCAATTTCAACGTCGGTTTTGCTGTCACCGAATGGTCCTGAGCTCAGCCCTAAGCCGATGGGGAAAACCTTTTGATTTTGATCCTCATTATTTCTGATTATTTACCATCCTCTGAAAATTCTGAGTTGTGAACATATACATAAACATGTGAAATACAACAGACGTAGCTGACATATACTTTTTACGGGACATATACAAGAGGGGATTTCAATAAGACATATTTTGTCAATTTCACTACTCATGGCAGATACGTCAGTTCGCAAAATGAAATATTAACCTATGAAAGAATTCAGTTCATTAAAGAAATCGGATTTCTTCAAATGAAATTGTATGAGATGAGAAGATTTGAATGTGAAAGGAGTTTTTTCTTCAAGTCCACAACAGTCAATATATATGCATTGAGCTCCCATTAGAAGTGTGATTTTTCTTTGAAGAGCTCTTTCTGAAATTACAGAGTTGTTTCTCCTCCAAGAAAAATATTTTCAATCTTTCAATTTGTTTCATTACTCATTTCATTGTTTATCAAGTGGTAGAATAAACCTGTAGTGTTCTACACTGCGGTTTTGGACTTCGCATTTTGGTTGTTATATCCTATTTCACCCAATAAAGACCATTACTCTTATTAATATCAAACAATACATTAACAAAGGTCGTATAGAATTCACAGCCTGAGAACAAATTTCTTCTAATTTTTTTTTTTCGAAGTAAATAACTATTTTATTTTATACAGGGTGTTTCAAATTCGATCCTCACCATTGGAAACTATGAGAGATACGAAGATAGTTTTGAAATTCCGAGTATATCCGGAGATATCCGGAAAAAACAGAAATTTCGGAAAATGGTTTATATTTTTTCCTGGCTTCATTTTTCAAAGGATTCGAAAATAAATTGCACTTCCACATTGCCACTCTTCCCTGCTACATAATGGTGTTTTCAGATTTGCTAACCGACGTTTTGTCTTCCGGCCACCACTATCAACTTTATTTTTTTTTATGGGCGATACATTGGATTCTTTCTGTTTTGAGTAGAATCGATTTACCTTTTCCATGATGTATCATAAATTATCATTCTTTTTCGAAAAATTGGAGATATTGAAAAAAATAATTCTTATCATAATAGGCTTTGACTTTAATGTTTTTAAATTTGACTTCCAATTTGTTACACTCAATGACATTTTGTTATTGCACAAGTCATTGAATGTTTGGTGAATGGCGAATGAAGAAAAAAGAGATATGATACAAATTTATTACAAATACGATAGAAACACAGTGTTAGGAGATCAGAAAAGTATTTAAACTTGTATCCCGAAAGACGAGAACCACATCGAACTATGCTCAAGTTATTGGATCAAAATCTCACCGAGTTTGGTTCATTTGAAAAGTCGAGGAAAAAATACGGAGGCAGAATGGACTAGGAAACTAAAGAAAATTTGATAAATGAGGTATGTATGTATGCATGAGGTAAATTAGACATTGTGTCCTTTTCAATAAAAATTAATAATTTGCAGATAAACATAATCCAGGGGAAATCTGCACGTCAAATTTCCTAGGGAATGAATATTTCTCATACAAGTGCTTGGAGACATATCAAGAAAAGCGGTTTAAAATGTTACAAAATACACACATCTCAAAAATTGCATACAGATGATCCCGAAAGGCAATTAGAATTTTGTAATTGGCTAATTAGGAGACCTGATTTTCCTGTTTTCCTGGAAAATGTAATTTGGACAGATGAAAGCACTTTTACAAATTGTAGGATATTTAACCGAAATAACGAACACATTTGGAGCATAATCAACCCCAGGCAGTTCCGAAAAATTCAACCCCAAGTGCGATTTAGTATTAACATGTGGGCAGGGATTGACAAAGATAGAATTTTGGATCCTCATTTATTTGACGGAATTCTGAATGAGAAATCTATCAGCAGTTTTTAATGTCGATTTTCGAAGACTATTTGGATGCTCTATCTTTGGCTAACTATAACAATATCTGGTTTCAACATGATGGTGCTCCATCGCACACTACCAGACGAGTATCTAATTACCTGACTGGGAGGTTTGGTGATAAATGGATAGGGAATAATGGGCCGGTGAGGTGGCCAGCAAGGTCTCCAGACTTAAGTGTTGTGGATACATTCATATAGGGTACACTGAGAAATAGAGTTTATGGTCAGAGGGAATATCAAAATATTGAGGACCTTCAACACATCATTGTTAGAGAGTTCGGAAGATTGAGGAAGAAGAAAATTATTCGGGAAGTGAATAATATACGAAGAAGGACACAGTTGTGTTATCATGAACAAGGCCAGCATTTTGAGCATTTGCATGTCTTCACATTTTAGTTAATAATTATTGTTATTTGTTCAAAGTTCTATTTTCTTTAAAACGAACACAATGTCTAATTTACCTCATACACACCTCATTTATCAAATTTTGATTGTTGATTCTGTCTCCGTGTTTTTTCATTGGCTTTTCAAACGAACCAAACTTGGTGAGGTTTTGATCCAATAACTTGAACATAGTTCGATGTGGTTGTCGTCTTTGGGGATATAAGTTTAAATACTTTTCTGATGCCCTAACACTGTGTTTCTATCGTATTTGTAATAAATTTGTATCATATCTCTTTTTTCTTCATTCGCCATTCACCAAACATTCAATGACTTGTACAATAACAAAATGTCATTGAGTGTAACAAATTGGAAGTCAAATTTGAAAACATTAAAGTCAAAGCCTATTATGATAAGAATTATTTTTTTCAATATCTTCAATTTTGGCAGGAAGACGAAACGTTGGATATCAAATCTGAAAACACCATTATGTAGCAGGGAAAAGTGGCAATGTGGAAGTGCAATTTATTTTCGAATCCTCCCGAAAATCCCGAAAATAAAGCCAAGAAAAATGAAAACCATTTTCCGAAATTTCGGCTTTTTCTAAATATCTCCGAATATACTCGGAATTTTAGAACTTTCTCAACAGCATATTTTTAGTCAGGTAAATGCGCAACTTTGCGCATCCCCAACGGTGAGGATCGAATCTGAAACACTCTGTCTATTGAACAACAACTTTTTATATGAAACTAGCTACCATGAATCAACAATTGTACTGTCGATGTCGAATAAACCAGAATAACTTTTCTATTCATATAGATAGACTGAAGAAAACAACTTTTGTCTATTTTCCACTGAGTTTATTATTTGCTACGTCCGGTTTCGGTTTATTAGACTATTTTCAAAATGGTATAATAAACCGAAACCGGTCGTAACAAATGATTGAGCTAGTAGAAATTAGACAAAAGTTATTTTCTTTACTCTATAGTCAATATGAATTCCTACAAAATAAATAGGTCATCAATCGAACAAGTCTTCTATTTATATTTACTAAAATGAGATCAGTCAAGTAAAGATCTATCTCATATCACATTACCTCGAATTTACATTACCCAAAAATTTCAGTTTATCTTTTTGACAGAGCAGTTTTTGATGACTAATTTTGGTAATTTTTTTTATTATTTTTCATTATCAACCAACCCCTGATAGAGGAGCCTGATAGAGATACTCTTTGATGAAATTGTTCATAAAGTTAATATTTTGCAAATAATCAATATCCAGTAATAAACGAAAAGACATTATGATTCCGTTTATTAGTATATTCAAAATCACAAATCGTAGAAGTAGTTTTTTTGAAACAAAAATACTGCAATTGGAAAAATTTGAAAATAGGAATTTTTCATATTTGATTTTTTTTTTCAGTTTCTACACTGTATTATACCCAAATGACTCAATTATAATTTCAACATTCTTCTTATATTGCCATTAAGATACCCTCTTGAACAATAAAGCATATTTCAACATTACTGAACAAAATTGGAGAAACCACGATTTCAAAAAAATTAATTTCGAAGACGTAGAAAATGATACTGCCAACGGTTTTTCTCAAATTGTAATGACGACATTCGTACTATTTTAAATTATGAGACGATAGTTCTGCCAACGAGCAAACTGTACCCACATATTTATTTTGTTTTCGACTTGTCAACTTTATGTACCATTTCAGGGTGAATACGTGAGAAAGAAGGGCTTTTTTGGAGTGAATGTCTGGCCTGTAGATGCTGATGACGTCCATGGAAAATGTGGAACAAAACAAATTTTACTCAAACACATTCATGGAGGCATTGGAAACAAAGTGAACTGGGATAACGATTAAAACTGTGTATTATTCAATATTCCTTAGAAAATGTGATATAACTAATCGATATGATTAAATGAACTCTCTCTTTGGTATAATTTTAAGTGTAAGGTCATGAGTTGATATATTTTGTACAGTTTAATATCTACATTTCAAGGCAATACATAGTTTTGTAGTTTTCACCGATTACATTACAATAGCAATTAAATGATGAGTACGAGTTCTATTTCTATTCTGAAAAAACAAACCGTGTCGACTCGGCTCACAAAGCGAAAAAAACTGGAAAAATGATGCTCCAATCGCCCAGCATTACTCTATAAAAACGAATCCATTAAAAATTATCACGTGTCTACCTTAACAGCATGCTTCAGATACAAGAGCTGGAAGTTTCATGCAAAATATTCTGGAATGTATTGAAATGTTACGTTCAAAAAAGGTTTCCCTGAGTGAAACGGGTACCCCATCATATATATTGAAACAAGTCCTGGTACGATCAATAGAGTTATATGGTGTGGTAGCCTTCTATTCTCATCCGTGAAGACAGTTTCCATTTTAACCTGAAATACATTCTTTTGAAGTTTTCCCCCTTAGAAATAGCTGGGACTATCTAGTCTAGTTCATTTGAGTATTTGAGAATATTCCAGAACATCCTGGAACATTCTGGAATATTGTTGTTTCTTACAAAAACTTCAAACACCTAACGTTCCACACCACAGTTGTGGAATGTTAGGGAATTGTCTCCCTGAGCGAATACAGATACCCCAACTGTCTTATGAATTGAAACATTTGAAAAAACTGCCAACCTGTAGATATTCTTTGTCATGAACAACCAATAGCCTAATAACAAATATTGGAAGAATTCACGAATAAGTGACTACATATATAGACTGTATCTCTGTATCTGTGGAGTAGGAAGGGTGAGTGCAGACCCACAGCACTTAGGCCACATGTGACTCATTGTAAATCCTCCCGAGGACTTAACCTCCTAGGTCATCGTCCATCCTGTCCTTTCCAGGAAGGTGGACAGTTCACTAGGAGACATCTCATTTATATTGGCAGGTGTAGGCCAAGACTCGCCGAACACACACTCTCTTTGGTAATCTTGAGGTATCTCACGGTGGCTTCCGCGAAGGTTATGGAAGGTGCAGCGACATTACTGTCGTTGCGCGGTTTCTTCAACCTTCTTGAGGTCCCTCCGTAGAGGTGCACAAGTGAGGGAGTTTTTCTGCAGGGGCAGCCAGTTCCTTGCCTTAATTCAAGGCGGAGATCTTGGCGCCCGCCGCAGGAAGCGCCCTTGTTGTTGGAGGTAGAGTGGGGGAGGAGCAGGGTGACTTATAGTTGCTGCCACTCATGCCTCCTTCGCTCTCTTTCTCCTTTTGGCCTCGGCGCTGCAAATGCGCTCATGCATTGGCCTTTGTATTACATCACGAAGTGATTTGCTATGTTCAGCCTCATTCCAAGCGGTAGATAGGGGTGGACATTTCTGTTCATCTCCAGCCACCGCCTTGGGATTGGTTTTTGTTTTTGTTGTTTCTGTTTGTTTCATTCATGTGTGTTCCCCCGAGTAGCAAGGGAAGAGTTGGTCACCTCTGGCAGAGCCCCGAATTACCAGAGGTACAATGAGGTTTTGCACAGTTCCCCAAGGGGATCGTTCGTCCGGCCATTCAGCTGTCGGTATACGATTCCTTACACCTTAGCTTGGGTAGGCTGGACCACGGTGGCATATTTTGCAAAGGCTTTTGGGGAGTTTTACTTCCCCTCACCCTACTTATTTCTGCCACTGATCAGGAGGCAAAAACGGCCAGGGGTCAGGGCCTCCAGTCCCCTGGCCGTTCCCCTATCATTCACCTGAGGACGCGCCTGATAGGTAGACCAAACCACGGGTATAGAATGTATAATTTCACGGACGGAGATAACTGTGCAAAATCTACTTTCCGGTGTTTTCAGCCATGGTCTGCAGGTTTTATGCCTGGTGTTTTGTCTACTGCTGCGGTAGACATTATCAAAGGTGATGAGGTAACAGTCTAAGTGATCCAATTGTTGTTCCCGTTGTTCCCAACGCAGATAATACAATGGTGGTATTTGACTCCGGTTTTAGAATATTGTCAAGTCGCTGTGGTCAAGTCATCATGATATGTATAAACTATTTTTACGTTTCAATGTGGAATCACACGTTAAAAGGTAAGACCTCGTTAATCCTTAGCTCGCACAAGTTTCGACTTCTGAGGGTTGTCGTTAGTAGGGGTGCGACAGCTGGTTAACGGAAAAACAGAATGTACCATCTAGATTAATGCCAGAACATAATTGTTTTCAAATGCAATATGACATCGCAGTTCGAAACTGAGCGATTCTTGTTTTCTGTATTAGTTTGTAATTTTTTTCTCAAGAAGGTCACAAATAGTTTTTTTGTTCATGTTTGTCTCGTTTGATGTTGAATAGTACAATTCTTGTTGTTTCACAATGAATATATTTTAAATATGAGACGTATGACTGAATTTTTTTGTCAAGTTATTTTGATGGTCTCTTAAAAATCCAAACTCCGATTCTGCAACCTTCAACATACACTGACTACTAATCCATGTGAATGTGTTTGGAATATATCAACTGGGTACGCTACTGTGTTCTTCCACCAGTCAAACTGGAAGTGGGAATTTCGATTTCATATCGGTTTAAAAATGGTTTTAAAATTGTTCAGTTTTCCATCTAATTGATGACAACTCTCCTCTCCTATGGGGATAAAATGAACACTCTGAAGATTGTTCACATTTTTTAATGATTGACCTCTTGTGAGGTTGAGGTGAACTGTTTCACGATTTAAAATGTATAGTATTTGTTATTGTAGTTGTGTGTTGCTGGCGTTTCTTCAATTATTCACTGGTAAGTCGCAATTCTTCAAACCAATCGACTTTTCCTTTCACTCTGTTTATGCGATTTATACTAATAGCAACATTAAGAATTTATCAAAAATTTCAAAACAACTACAAATTACCTGTACAATGTTTTATGTTATTTCAAATACTGTTACAGAAAATGTGACAATTATTCGCCTTTGTTTACAGATTTTTATTATTTCATTTTTCTTCACTTTTCATCTTTTGAATATATCGGAAACAATATCGATTTGAGTGTTGAAATTCGATATTGGTGCAGTTATAATTACTCAATTTTTTTTATCTGTTTAAAATGTGGCATCCTTGGACAAGTACTAATAGTAATAACGCAGGCTTTTTCCTGTGTGGTGATTCCAATAGCGCTGGTAATGCGAAAACGAGATACCAATGAATAAGATTCGGATGCATTTGAATATTGAAACACAGAGAGTATGTTTCAATGTATATAACATGGAAGCTAATATTTTTGAGGAATGGTTTGAAAACACATTGATCCCAAATTCGGATGCAAATAGTGTAATAGCTCTTGACAATGCTTCCTATCATTCGCGAGAGCTCATCAAAGTACCGAATAAAAATTTGAGGAAAGATGAAACACAAAGGTTTTCAATGGATAACAATTTGTATTTTGAAGATAACCATACCAAAAACTAACTACTTGAAGTTTCACAGAGAAAAACATTTGAAAATGTGTATGTCCTTAAGAGTATGGCTGAAAAGTATGGACACACCATACTGAGACTTGCCCCCTATTTTTGTGTTTTCAATACCATCGAGTTGATTTGAGGAAAATCGAAACAAAGCATCAGGCGTAAAAATAATTTTCCAAAATTTGATAAGAAGGTAATAGAGCTAGTTAAAGAAGAAGTATCTAAATATTACCGAAGAAGACTAGCAGAAAAGGAATAAAAAAGTAATTTTAGTTGAAAAAGACTATATGGAGATTGGACACTTCCATATTAATGGTGGAAATAAATTCATTCATTTATTTATTTTGATTTAAATGATGACAGTGATAGTGAAACAGAGAATATGGAAGAAGAATTATTAGAAGCTTTCGAAAAAACTTAGAGAAGTGTTTTTGAAGCGATCGAATGGAAATATTTGTGAGTAAGTAGTATTCAGAAGTATTTTCAATTAAAAAACCATAGAGTGCCTTGGAAATGAAACTAAAATTATGAAAGTTAGTGTCAAGATACAGTTTTTCATGCTTAATATTTCAATAAAAAAAAATTGAGATTGATTGAAAAATGCACATTCTACAGGGGTGGTTCCATTTTAAATGGGTCACACTGTATATAGTGGATAGTCTTAGCGACTGGAGAAATGTACAGTAAAATGGATTAATGAGGAAAGTTTCATTGGATCAGTGTAGTTCTGAACTGCAGATATCACCAGAAGATGGCAAATGAAACTTTGCCGTTGTTAAAATAATCTTAGTTATGTGTCAAGCTTTTGATATACTTCACATCTTCGTCAGTACAACTACAATACTAAGATTACATATATTTTGTGAAAACTTGTGAGAACTTAGTAACCTGAGAATATAATGGCTTAAAAACGAATAGAAAAAACAAAATAATGAAGTTATCAAAAGTCGACTGACAATGACAAGTGGGAAATTTCTGAATACTATTGACATGAATTGATATGAAAAGAAAGATGAGTCCTAATCCTGAACGCTGTGGAACACCACAATCAATATATTTCATTGAACTAATTTTTTTGAGTACAAGTTATACTGACTGAGATATGATTCAACCTATGAATAAATATTACCTTCCAAAACAATAAATTCAAGTATTTTCAAGAAATTTAAATCGCTAAATTGTGAATGTAGCCGTTACTACGTGGTAGGATTCGTAATGATGAAAAGGGAATTGTAACAAATAAAAGTGGTAAAAAACATAGAAAGTTTCAATTTTCTTTTCTTCATTAATTCAGATTGAATCTGTCGAATTGAATATTGAAAATTGTATTCATCACTGCGGACTTAGTATCACCGGATTTACACAGCAATTTAAAAGAATCTGAATAACCCGTATCTAGTGTGATGACCGCTTGAACAAGTTCATCATATTTTGATACACCAAGCAGCACTGTCTTGATAGAAGAGTATTGGTAAGAATGTTACATTTAACAAATATTTTTTAAACTTTCCAAGTGGTTAAGGAAATTGTCTGGGTTTTTGATATTGAACAAGGTATCACAGAACTCTGTCACTAAGTTGAAGAGCCACATTCTTGATACATAAATCACTTAATTTATTGCAGTTATCTAAGGTTAAGTCAGTGCATAGAGTAATACATGTTGATGATGGTAATCTAAGAAATACTGTGAAAAAATACATGAAAACATTATTTGAGAATATACGGTAAATGCAAGATTAACTAAGTGAAGCCAGTGTAACATATATGTGTAACCAATGGTTTTTAGTTGCGAGTCATGCGACTTAACATGAAACAATAACAATTATAGGATCAGTAGTAATCATAAAAATCAGGTTTGCTTTCGATTACACGAAACGCAAAGTTCTGCTAAAGTGAGACAACGATGGTAGTGTTGAAACTACCGAAATAGCTGTCTCTAACGTCTAACCACCATTCTAGATCGGAAGTAATGCTGAACACTTTGATAAGTTCACTTTTATGACTGCTGTAGAAACTCTGAGGTCAGTTGGAACAATACAAAATAGGAATGTAAAACCAGTATAATGAGGTATTATAGGTAGTATAGGTTATTGAGAATTGTATTCACATTTATTTCAATTGCTAGCATCTTTTCATTATAAATGAATCGAAGAGGTTTTTTAAAATTCTTCCAAAACGCTTTCGACTTTCGTCATCATCAGTGCTCACCTGAAAGTAAGTGATCTAGTTGAAAAGGGAATTTAGTGATAATTGAAGTTGCAAAATTTTTTCAAGGTTAAGAAATTTGGAAAAATTGTTTGAGATTACTTACTTGTCAGGCAACAGGAAGTATCAAATTGAGTAAATTGTACATTTGTAATATTTGGCTTATATAAAACAAAATAAGCTTATAGCGAAGAAAATACATTTTTGGATTGAGGCCATGTGGTTCAGTCAAAGCATCAGATGAAGAAGAAAAACTTGAGACAGAATGAGTCAAGAGTCATGTTAAAATAATGGTACCAACTTGAGGAGTGATCCATTATGGATTTGATTGAATATGTAGAGGAAAAATATTGAATAAATTATATTAATAAACTGTGATTAATTAATAATTCATAATCCTCTTATGAAGGGGAAGGAAATCTCTGTTTAAGTTTACTTGAGTATTCAAACAATGATNTGGCCTCAATCCAAAAATGTATTTTCTTGGCTATAAGCCTATTTTGTTTTATATAAGTCAAATATTACAAATGCGCAATTTACTTAATTTGATACTTCCTGTTGCCTGACAAGTAAGTAATCTCAAACAATTTTTCCAAATTTCTTGACCTTAAAAAATTTTTACAACTTCAATCATCACTAAATTCCCTTTTCAACTAGATCACTTACTTTCAGGTGAGCACTGATGATGACAAAAGTCGAGAGCGCTTTGCAAGAATTTTAAAAATTATACACTTTAATACAAAAAACCTCTTCGATTCATTAATTCAAATGAGTGTATTCAGCTTTTCCAAATCTTTTTCTCTTTATTATAGTTGGCAATGACAGTATTTCTTTGGTCATCTCCAGGGTGAATCCTTCTGATCCTTTCAAGTTCAGAATACTGCTCTCACATAGTAGAACCAAGAACGAACCCTCGAAGTAATCAACTCGTAACCATTTTCTTCGTCATCTCACCTATCAAAAGTATCATACCTACAAAGTAGCTCCAAATAACGAAATATAGGTAGGATGCGTTTTCTACAGCGACGAAGAATATCAGATGCAAGATCCCAGGTTAAACAACCAAAATTTACTAGTCTATCGTATCAGGACCTAATTATATCAACTTAAAAGTTGACAATTAGGAAATGGAAAGAAAACACGAGACTCTTCATTGAGAACTGATGAGTCAATCGGTGAAGACAAATCAGTGGAATCAGTAACTGATGTTCGTTGCTGTCATTACTGATGACAAAATCACTCCATCAATATCATTCATATTTAAAAAAAATTTAAAATTTCATGAAATTGATTTGGATTTTCCCCATACCTATTATCAAGAAAAGGAAATCAGCTACACTTTACGAACACACCCTCGAAATATTAGGTGAATGTAGTGTATGTATGTCATTATAGATTCCACAATTTCTGTTTTCTTGAATGATTATCGAATGTGATGTCAGCAATCTGCTAGAAGAAGACATCACTGGCATTTCTGACCACATACGAATTGTCGGCGCTATTATTACTTTCAAGTACGTCGTACGTAAGTCATGTCTTATCATTCAATAACCACTTTTTAAGGAAGTTGACGTAGGTTCATTCATAATATTCTGGATTCCAACCGATTGTTGGTCTTGTATTTCCGTTACAGATTTGTTATTTTCTGTGTAGACTTAACAAGTTTGAATGATGATCACCGACGTATTCTTGATTGAATCTGAAAGTAGCAAAATTTGATTTGCTAGTACTCAAACACTCTCACGAAATTAACTGGTGTGGTATATGTTTGTACTTGATATTATTTGTATACAGGATGTAACATAAGTAGGTACGATAAATTATTCAAGTGACGTATTCCTGAGACAATTTTAAGAAAAAAAGTCTATATGAACCTGTGTTCGAAAATGCTTCGTTTCGGAAATAGGAGGTGTTGAAACTTAAATTTTTTGTTCGCTTTTTGAAAATAACTCTTGCCAAAAATCAGTTATTTGTACAGTAATTTGGCATAAATTTTACTTATATATACACACAGCGAACGGCAGCTCTTCGTCTGGCGGCATTGGGCATGTGTTCAAGTCTAAACTAAGTATCGTTTGATAGTACAAAAAAAAATGTTAGGCGCCACTAGAATTTGATTTTATGAAACCCA